AAATGTTGTTTTTACTGTAACATACATGTAGCAAATTAGTGAAACTTGCAAAAAAAAAAAAGATCAAAGGATATCTACTTGTGAGCTATAAGCAAATCTGCAGAACTCAACCTATGAAATGTTTTAGCTACCTTTCAATGGATGCAAGCCTGTCCGGGTTGTAAGTTTGTTTTATTAAGGCAAAAACATTTACATTGCTCTCGAGTTATCATGATCATTTTGCAACCCTCTGCTGTAGTTGTATAAACCTGCCCTGTTTTGAAAATTAAAATTGATTGCATTATTATACTAACAGAAGGTTTTCCTGGAACTCCTAAGTAGTTGGTGTGTTTTCAAGGTTCACAATTAGTAGCACAATGTAAAGTCTATCTTATGTTTCATGGTTTTGATATTAGGACGTACACATCTGCTGGAGATTATTTTCTGTGTTTCATGTGTCATATGGCCTCCCCATCCGGTGAAAAGCATTTTGAGATGCATCCTTCTTCTTCATGTTTGAATTTTGTCAACCCAATTATATATTGCATAAAGTTAATATCCATGTCTGCTTCTTTAAAATTTAATTATATCAACTAGTACAATGTTCAGCACATACTAAGTATTCAAGGAAAGGACCTGTATGAATCGCCTATGTTCTATGACATGTCATAAAGTTTCCCTGTAATTTAAGTGTGTACTTGGTTTGGTGGGCTGACATAGGCAGTTTGTAGATCTGTAGTTAGCTTGCCTAGAACTCACCTTTTTGCACCATTTCCTGAATTCACGGAGTCTGTGGTAAAGAGCATTGGCGTACTGATTTATTTTTTGAAGTGCTGTTACCTTTTTCTTTCCAAGGAGCTAGTATATGTTGTATTTTGTTGATCTATAGCTGGAATGAAAGTCTTCCACTCATGACTTGGTAAGAACTTTTAAAAATTGTTGTACCATGTACCATGTACTTCAGTTCAACCTAGATGTGTTTGCTACGGCACATGTCTCTCTAACAAAAAATTAGTTTCTTGGGGCCAGCTGAGTGGCTCAGTTGGTTAAGAGCTCGCTCAAGAGTTTGAGCTCTGAGTAACAGTGGCTCGAGTCCTGGCCCAAGCTAAGCAGCCGCTGAGCTGCCAACAGGTGGCAGGATGGCTCAGCTAAAAAAAAAAAAAAAAAGAAATTAGCTTCTATGTGATTGGTAAAGTAGGGAGTTAGGTCCATATAATGTGGAAGTGGCATCAGCTTGTATGCAACATTGCCTAGATAAGAACAGCCAAAAAACCAGGAATAGAATTAGAAACTTGGAAGGAAAAGTAACAATCTTCAGCTTAGCTGCTGCACTGGATCAGAAGCCTTTATGACATCCTATTTTTTTTAATCTTTTGTTTGATTCATATATTAGTTATTAAGAGAAGAGCAGTAAAACATCCCCCTATTTTATGGATTTGGAGATTGTGTTCTTACAATTCAATTTTTTTTTTTTGCTTTGTGCATTCAAATCTACATTCTTAGTAATAAGGTTATGATCATGATAATTTTTTATTTTTATTATGTACTGTTACTCTTTATTTCTATTAATGGTTTTTGTTTGAAACTCTACTGCTACAACTTTTATTTTTGGTGGAATTTGTATGGAATGTCTTTTTCATCCTTTTATTTTGTACTTTTCAGCATAGTTTTCCTTAGATATTTATCTTATAACTAGAGTATTGTTAGATTTTTTTCAGTCTGTTCAATCTGTTACTTATAAAAGAGTTCACTGTATTGCATTTATTTTTATTAGTTTTATATTTGGGATTCTTCCTACAAACTTATTTTATTTTGTTGTTGCCATTGGCCAATTGTTTTGTTTGCTACTTTTCTATTATGCTTTGCTGCATTGATATACATAATCCTTTTCTCCTTGTGAACATTCAGAAACTATAAACTATAGTTGTATATAGCTTTAATTAAATACTGTTACTTTTAAAATATGCATAATTAGCTATAAGTTAGCCAAGTGTAAAGTTTCTAATTTCTGTCCTTCTCCAAAACAAAATACAGATACAGCACACTTTAATTAGCCATTGAGCATTCTCATTCCAATATGATTTATTCTTGTCTAAAGTTTTAGATCTAACATTTTTAGGCTCCCAAAGTTATTCTTACTTCTATAATTAAAAGTTAATGTAATTAACTTACATTTAAAAAATGTAGTTTCGTGCTCTCTTTTAGGGCATGTTTGCGAAAATTACCAGACCTGCTCCCAGCTCTGATCTCCCTTGGAGGTTCCCTAGCTCTTGACAGGTTTTGTACTTCCTGCTGGGCCAACCTCAGGCAGTTTTGTGTGCAGAACTCCATGCCCAGTTTTATAGTATCCATCATTTCTTCTCCATTTAATGTGTTATCAGTATGTTCGCTCTTTCATTTCTATGCATTTTAAATCTCTCTGAAGGTTGTAATTACAAATTAGTCTTGTGTTTTCTGCTCCTTGTGCTATTTTCTTCCACAAATGCTCTCCCCATGCCCCTTATTTTAGAATGAGAATTTTCAGAACTCAAAATTTGTTGGGGAAACTTAGGTTGTATCAAACAAGAAATGTCTGTCTAGTTACCTTTCTAGGCTGGCAATAATGTTACCTAGGTTGTGCACTGCAAAACTCCAGGGCATTCCATCCACAGAAAGTATATTGGGCAGGGTGTCCCCCAGTGTTTCATGGCATCTAAACAGTACAGGTAATTACATGGTTAAAAGAGTTAAATAGTCACCAAACAGCACTGTTGTCCCCAGTCCAGCTGGGTTGGGGCTGTGTAGCGATCTGGCAGTATGGGCCCAGGAGAGAATTTTACCCTCAGCCTCCCCTGGTTCTAGATCCATACCATGACTGCAGTTTCCAAAATTGCCTTGAATTTGGAGAATTAACCTGCTTTGGTTTGCAAGCCCACTACCAGAAATTTTAGGTTCAGCTATTTATTTCAAATTCATGAGACTAGAAGAAGCTTTGTGGCACTGGTTTGTCCAACTTTGTAAAAGACTGCAGGATAAGAAAAAAAGACGGGGCAGGGAGGACCCTGTCGATTCAGCTGTAGCTCTTAAGTTCATCAATGCACATTAGTACAGGGGCTACCCCCCCACAGACACCTCTTCTCCCCCCACCTTGCCAGGGAGCTAGGGGAAGGTGAGCCTAACGTCATAGGGTCACATCATCTTTTCTGGAGGTATTCAGCAGATGGAAAAATCTGAAACCTTTTCTTTCTGCTGTTCATCTCCCCCTCACACTTATTTTTTTTCTTTTATTCTTTGTCTATTCTTTGGTTTCTTTTTGGATTAAAGATTTTTAAGGAAAAAAAGTGTCTTTATTGTCACCCTAGATTTCAGGAAGAAGCAGCTATATGTGTATGTATGTCTTCAATTAACTATATTTATTGATAGTGTTAATGTAAAGTTCCAAGAAGTAATTATTGAATATTTACTACCTTAATACATATATATATATATATACACACATATATACATATATATGTATATATGTATATATATATATATATACACATTACATGTCATCTCATAATTCTCTTTAAAAATAGATGCTAGTAAGTACTTTTGCCTGGAAAAGCAAAATGTAATGTGATGTGATGTGATGTGTTGGAAAAAAAAAACTCCCTTGCGTGGCAGAAAGAACATAATAAGATATTTTGTTGTGTATTTTCTGTAAAGTGCATTTCCATATAAATGAGCAGAGGGGAAGGGAAGGGATTAGTATAAAAGTATTAGGATGAAGTATATTTTTAAATGCTCCTAGTTAATAAATATGCATATTGAATAACTTATAATTCTTGAAAGTTTTTAAAATTTGGTATTGTGAAAGAATACATATATTTATGAGTGTTCATTTTATGTGTACATTTGCATTTTAAATTATTCATTTTGAGGGTATATGTCTTTTATATTCCATAAAAGATGAACAATACTGTAAAACCCTCAATAATTTTGGAGAAATGAATAAAGATCACCCTGAACTCCCTAAAATTTATATTAAAAGTAATGTTTAAAAAATAGTCATTTGAATAATTTCAAGAAAAGCACTATTTAACGCTGCTAAAAAATACTATATAAAATTATTCTAGATTTACTTTAAGAAATAAATGATAGGGCCGGCTGAGTGGTGCGATGGTTAAGAACTGGCTTGGGACGCCAGAGGGCCCTGGTTCAGAATTCATATATGAGGGCCAGTGATGCTGCCCTCCACAGCTGGGATGCTGAACAACAGCTCAAACTGGAGCTGGGCTGCCATGAGTTGCTGGCGACGGCGTAGGCTGCAGCCCCTGCTGCAGTGGGTTGTCATGGGCTACCGTGTGTAGCCAGCAGCCAGTGTGAGCGGCCAGCAGCCTCAGTGAGCGGCCGTCCAGAAGCTGGCGACTGATCTGCCTCGCCCGGGAAGAGCGGAATGATGGTGCCAACTTGGGCCAGTGCAGCAACGTCCTCCACAACTAGACTGAAGAACAAAAGGACAGCAACTTGTGTGTTCCCCTTCCCCGATTCCCCAGCGCTGTTCCCATCTCCCCAATTCCCCAATAAAAAAATCTTTAAAAAAAAAAGAAATAAATGATTATTTGTTAGAATTCCAATTGTTAATTACTTTGAAAATAATTCTTGTAAACAACTTCTGTACATAATTACATTGAATTTTATTGATAGTGTTAATTTCATAACATATATATTTATTTATTTGTAGCCTAGTCTCAAATTACAAATTATGAATTAAGTTGAACAAATTGATGAAATGATATAGCATTTTTTATACATTTGACTCTGACACAAGTTCAAATAGAACTTTATATGCTCAATGAGTGTTTATTACCTCCATATTTATAAAGGATGATTCATTGATCTTATTTAATATTTGTGGCTTAGTGTGTTTAACCAGGAATGAACACAAATTGATAAAAATATTATAATTGTGTGTGTTTTGAGCTTCTCTAATGTTATATTTTTCAAAGGAAAGTGAAGGGAATGGTGTTCTAATTGTTACCTTTTATATTATTTTTCAGGTGCATTTTCTTGATTATAAATTGATACCTCTTGGTCAGAAAATGGAAAACCTAATGCAGATTAGGGAATTTGCAAAGGAAGTGAAAGAAAGAAATATTTTATTATGTGGCCTTCTCATATATTATTCACAGGTAGGTAAAATGTGTACTCTTCAAATTATATGTTCTGTAGAATATAATTTTAATGATGGGGACCTGATTTTGTTAAAAGCAAAGAGATAGTAATAAGAATAAATTTGGCTGGAAAATTACTCATTCATTTCTGTTCTGTAGTAGGTGGAACTTCTCAAGTCTGGAGTAAAAATAAAAGTCAAAACAGGTGTTTTGATTAGAGGAAAAAAGATGAAAATTGGCAAATGTCTCATACTAGGTAGTTCACATAGAATTGCCAGATATGGAAATAAAAATACAGAATGCCAGTTAAATTTGAATTTCAGATAATAAATAATTTTAAGTGTGTCCCAAATTTGGTATTTGAAATTTGAAATCCAAATTGAACTGGACTTTTGGAATTAACTGGCAACCCTAAGGTCACAACACTTAGCCAGTTGTATAATTTGAAATCATTTATTTCTTTTTATGTTATGCTAAAAATGTTGATGATCAAGTTTTTAATCACTTGAAAGCAAATTTTGGCATTGAGATTATAAGAGGGCATAGTATTTAGAGAAAGACTCTAATTATCACTGTCTTTTAATTGCAACAATAAGTTAAGCTGAAGGCAAAATGAATTATCATTTATAAACTCTGTGCAGAGGAGTGTTACATAAATCAAACTGTTTGGAGAATCTGTTAGAGAAGGTGGGTTTGCCCTTTGTGCATAGATATCTTTTGAGGAATGTGCAGAATGCTTTATAGTTTCTCAGAGGTACCACATGAGAGTCAAGAAAGTGAAATAATCAACTGCGTTTTTAATGGTCTGGAAAAATTGTTATTTGGTACTGACTGTCCAGGAAATGACAGGTATTTAAAGTTATACAGTTGATGAATAACAGCTATTGTTGATGAAATATTTAAGGTGCCTTTTTAGCCTGAAGGTAACAACATTTCTTTGGAAACAAATGGATCTTAATTAAATATAAGGATCATCTTTTAGCCAGTCCCTTGGTTTTCTTTAACTTTGAGGTTGTTTCCTCCGCTTCCAAAATAGGAAAGCGTGGTTCATCATCAAGAACGAGACAAAATTTGGTTTACTTGGGATCAGAAAATGTGAGTGCTATGGGAGGGGTATCAGAGTCAGGACAACCAAAGCCTAAAGAGATCAAAACTTAACCCTAGGACATGTAACTGTCAGGGTAAGAATGAAGAATTGAGGTCTGAATCTTCTTGCAGGAATGTTCCCTCTTCATTAGAGTGCCTTTGGTTGTTCTCTAGATCATTATGGTGGGAAAAATAACTGAATTCTTTCTCTTGTGCCATGTGAGGTGTCATAGGCACACAGTAACACTACACGACGTGGACATAAGATTGAGTTCACTGAGGGAAATCTCAAAAGCTGAGAAATGGGAGAGCACACACAATCCCTGGAACCCCCTTTGTCCTATCATGTAGGCTAAGCAAACAAGACCTGTATGCACTGTAGCTGACATTCCGGCAGAGAGTATGGCTGCCAGATGAAATATATTGGGCTGTCAGAAAAGTCATGACATATTTTTTCTATGTTTTTCACTGCAAAAATGTGTCATGACTTTTATGACAACCCAATAGTATGCCCAGTTAAATGTAAATTTCAGATAAACTATCTGAAATTTTTAGTATAAGTATTCCCAAATATTTTATGTGACATACTTACACTGAAAAATACCTTGTTATTCTGAAATTCAGATAGAACTGGACATCTTCTGTTTTTCTTTGCTAAGACTAGTCACTCTTGCAGAGTTTATATTTACAATACAGTTATTGATTTTCCAACCCCTGGGTGCTCTACACATTTATGGGATGGGGACAGTGAGTATATATGTGACTCTGCACCGGTGAGGGCTCCCTGTTTGGAAAAGTGGCCTTGTGGGAAAGAAGGAAACTTTGCTGCCTTGCTTGGCATCCATCCTTTGTTGTTTGGAGCAAAGTTGGACCTGCTAATCCAGTTCTACTAAGCTTCCAAACGTGGGAAGAAGATGATCCTACAAGGCCTTTAAGCTATGTTTTGCATCATTTTAGAAAGCAAAGATAGCACACCTACATCTTGCTTGTCTCTTCTTGAAAATACAATAGTGCAGATGTTTCAAATATATGAGAATGTGTAAAATACAAGGTATGCCTTTTCCTGAAACACAGGTATGAGTTGATCTTATAAACCCAACACATTGTCCAATGCATAAGTCCACCTGAGACTGCATTGACCAAAGGACCCTGGGATACTCACCAGTTATACCATTTACAAGGGCAATGGTTAAAATACTGGGGAAATATCAGCAAATAAACAGACTACTTTAATGAAGGACTTCAAACAAATCCTTGACATAATTTCATATCTCCAAATTGGGGACAAGGGGTATGCCATTTTCCATTTTCTCCCGAAACCCTTTAACCATAGGTAACTCATGGGACTGAGGCTCCGTAAAACAAACTTTGGGAAACACTCCCCACAAAATGCCCCAAGTAAAGAAATTGCTACCTCTGGACACACTCTTTATATATTTCAGTAATAATTTTTCTATTTAGTTAATCAATATCTCTACTATTGAGTGCCTACTTGACAGGTATTCTGTCAACACTATGGCTATGAAAATATATAAGAGTGAGCTTCTGTTCCCTGTTTAGTGAAAAGATTATTGGTCTGTGGTTTCCATGGTACTGCGAGATACAACTTTTTGTAGTGCTCGTACATTGGACTTGGTTTCCTAAATCTAACCCATCTCTGTCTTAGCCATTTGGATGTTTTCATAGAAAGTTATTGTGCATCATTTTAAGTCTCTGATCAGTGAAACCCTTCTAGATTTTTAATCATTTTTCATAAGACATAGCAGTGAGTGCTTCTCCTTTGGATAGGTTTTCAGTTTATTGATAGTCCCTCCTCAGAAGAGAGAACATAGTGAATTGATTTCAATATCTGTGATATACATATGGTCTTTCTGGATTAAAAAAGACCTGCCTTGTTATGATAAGATATTTCTGATAATGTAGATGGTCTTGATTTTTTTGGCAGCACTTTCACAGTGTTGATGTATATGATGTTTATAGTTAAATAGAATTATGTAAGCCTCTCTTTTTTTAATCACATGACGCTATTAAGCCTCTATTTGTGTTTGTGTGCAGTTCTTTTACACATGTGTAGGACTTTCTGTGTTTGGTGAATTTAAATGTTTCAGTTTTTTTCCTAGTGTTCCAGTCTCCTATTATCTTTTTTTTGTAAAATATAGCATACTCTCAATTAGCTATAGTTTCTTTCTTCATACAATTTACAAATTAGGGGAAAACTGATTTAGAAAAGGCTAAGGATTGATTCTTCTTTTAGTATCTGTAAATGTTATCTACAAATAAAATGTAATATCTACAATGTTATTTGTGATCAATTAATGGTAATTCTTTGATAATTCAATAACTCACAATTGCATCTAATTGTATAATATTTCAACTCAGTTTCTTCATATTTTTTCTACTCACAGGAGAATCTTTCACAAATGTGTTGCTTAACTCCAGATATGTTCTGTGTGTGCAGTTTTTCTAATCATAGAGCTATAATTTGCTAAATTATTGAATATGCTAGTTTCTGAGCTATATCAGTGTAATAAAGTATGAATTAACTTTTCTTTCCCCAAAATTGACTTTAAAATTTTCTACTTGCCTCAAAAAGTTAATAATTTAAAACAAGCTCTTTGTGGGTAGCTTAAACTTAGACTTAGAGATCAACTGACTGGCTTGACCATTTATATATAATATAAAGTTTTCTGATTTTATCATTCATTGCTCAGTTCCTCAAATTGTAAATAAATCAGGAGAGACTTGAAATTTATTATCTAGTTAAGAAATGCAGCATAAAGTTTGTCTTCACAAGTTGTTGAATGAATTTAAATCAGATCCTGTCCCTTTTCAAAAATAGCCATACAAACATAATTATGAATTATATTAAAACCAGGTTTTATAATGCAATCCATATATATAGGAGCTTTGTTCCTTTTAAGTATTATTTTAATTAATTCTATGCTTAAAACATTATTCTTCATTCATCTATTATTCCAACTTTGTTATGAAAGTAATCACTGAGGTCCAAGATATAAAATTATGTGTTTGAGGAACATGTTCTAATTATTTGAAAACCTATATCTAATCATATAGCAGTGAATTTATAGAAACTTAGTATTTCTGGCATGACCTATTCAAGCCAGTAGCTTAGATTTTGCAGACTTAATTTAATCAAAGTCTACAATATTTTTATGATGATTTTGTATTTTAATGCAATTATTTGCAAGTATACATTTTAAAGTAAAATTTTGCTCATGAACTTTTATGTCAATAAAATTTGTAAAATCTATAAAATTTATAAAGTCATGAAGTAGTTTTCCATTTAATTTATGCATTGTACATGCACAGGGTTTTAGAGATAGAAACATGCATGTTCATGGTTAAAGAGTTTCCCAAAACTATTATAACTGATTATTTCTTCTGCTGAATTAATGTCTTCCCTTTTAATTTAAAAACTAGCTATAAGACCTTGAAAAAATAATATAAGTTTTCTAGGCCTCCTATTCTCCACTTGTAAAATGCAGAAGTCAGAGCATCTATATTGAAGCCTCTGTCAGATGAGAAGACGAAGACACAGAAGGTGTGCAGACTGTGTCAGGTGACACCATTGGCCATCACTTACTCTGACAGAAAAATTCTGGAACTGAGCTTGGGTTTTCTTTCCTCTTCCTATGTGATCATAAACTTTACCTATACTATTATTTTCTTTATTTCATTGATAACTTATCTATTATAGCTCATGTATTTTATATAGTTTAGAGAGAGTACTGTATTTTTGTTTGTTTTTCTGTTTTGTTTTTTTCCTGACACCTTAATAAAGTAGAAGACAACAAGGGGGATGTCTTAGTTCATTCTGCTCTATAACGGAACACCATAGACTGGGTGGCTTATAAACAACAGAAATTCATTTCTCGTAGTTTGGGAGGTTGGAAGTCTGAGATCAGGGTGCC